CCAGAAATAGCCTGTTCCGAAACCCAGTTTTCGTGCCTGAATCTTAGGGCAGGTCGAAACAAATGAGGGCCTAAAAATAGCCCAGGGCCTAAGAATAGCCCTCCGTTTCAGGCTGGAAAAACTCTGGGTCTGAAAGACCCAGAAATAGGCTGAAACGGAGTAGGGCCTGCAGGCCCTCGTTTTTCAGTTTTCAGGCTGAAACGACCGGGGCCTGTAGCTCCTAAGTTTTAGGCTTCAAGGCTGAATGTCCGGGACGGGTCCTACAGGGCCCGTGTGGCTACGCAGTCTGCCACAGACTCTCAACTCCAATGGAGAAGGTCTGGGCGGAGACAAGGACCTTGATTCAGGGAAGATTCTCTGTAATTGGCATAAGACGAGACAATCCATGCCAGATGACAAAGAGCAACAGAGAAGAATCAAGGAAAAATTCACTAAGGTGTGGCTTGCAGGGGGCAAAGCAGAGATAAATGACTTTCACTGTTTCACATACGGTGAAAAAGAAGGCAAAGATCTCAGCCAGCAGAAGGGAAAATTCCGAGATTGCATCTTCCATAGCTTCTTTCCCTTTCTTGCTCTTTATCATTTATCTGACAGGTTCATGCAGTGGACCTGACAGGAAAGGTGGAAGAAAGGCAAGCTAACAGTCAATCCTCCACGATGCTGTTGTAATCAATGCTGGTCAGGGTTCCTTCGGCCCGACGGAAAGAAGCGTGAGTGTGTTTCATGATGTAATATTTCATTCTGACTTGCCGGTGGAATAGGAACCGGACAGATGCTCCGAAGAATGGAAACGGAGCCAGGGCCGTAAGGACCTGTTTTATGGTGGGGGGGAAGAGGTTCCCACAATCTCTATCAATACCAGTCAGCAAAGAGAACAAAGTAAGACATTTGTGCATCAATCTTCTCGGCCACTCACCTGCAAGACAATCGGCAATTGCAACGGCGGGTAACTCGTTTCTGTAGCGTATTTTAGCCACTCCTGAAACGCCAGTAGCTGTTCTGAAAAGAATGGACTTGGCTGTGGGCACAAGAGAATCCCAAACCAGAAGACCACCATCACTGTCAATCACTGCACTGCTCATGGTCAACTTAGGGCATGCGCTTGGAGAACCACAACCCAGCGTCTGGAGCGAAAACATTCATCAAAGCCTCTTTGTACTGATCTCCGCCACATGATGGATGACCTATTGTGGCTTCTGGCGCAAACAAAAAGAAATAAAGACAAATCTAGGCTACTAGTGTGGCCCGGGACCACTTGCCCGGCCGTATATATATATGGCCGTCGTTCGGGGACGGGCCGAACGCCCTGACCCGAACGCCTGAACGTATGGGACCCCTTGGGAATGCGTTCGGTCGTTCGGGCCGAACGTGGACCCATAAAAAAAAAAAAAAAAAAAAAAAAAAACTCAAAAAAATCTGCAAAAACATATGTTATGCAGAGAAATAAACTAAACAACATTTGCCTGAGTATTACATCCAAATTCCTTACCAAATTTGAAATAAAAATAAAAAAAGGAAAATAAGTATTATAAAAGGGCCTTTACCCGATATAGGCCTCAGGCCTTGTAAAAATAAAGCAGCACGGGCCTTGAAAAAGTAAAGCATTGTGAAAAGGTATCTCGTCAGAGCTCAGAAACGTGAAAGCAGGTCAAAGGTCAAGTTCTCTATCAACAGGCATATTTAAAACTAA